GCAGAAAAGGCATTTGACAAAGTCCAGCACCCATTGCTGATAAAAACTCTCAATCAAATAGGTATAGAAGGGAAATTTCTCAACATAATAAAGGGCACATCCAAAACCAATGACCAGTATGAATTCTGTGCCTAAATAAATTTATAGTTGGTAAAAATATATTTACTCTTGCTACAAATCTACTAGGATTTGTGAGATATGATTAAAGAAACATTTCCTAAATATGTTCTCTAGATCACTAGTTCTGAGCAAAATTGATAGGTGCTACTCCCCACCCCCCGCCCAAAAAAAGAGAAATGCTGGTTTAACCATCCTTAAACAGGTTTCTGTAAAACATGATCTGTTGAAGTTTTTTATTGTATTCAGCATCAAAGAAGAGGATATATTATGCAGCGTTGCTCAAATACATTGGAACACAGAAAGCTTCCCCCAACCCCGCAGTGGAATTAGTGTTCCTAAAATGCATTGTAGGGAATGCTAAGTCAAAGAATATGTAAAACCTATAGAAAAGAGGCAAATCATCTGTCTGACATGGCCAGGAAACCATGATTTCCAACATATTCGTTCTGTTGTGCATAGGGCCGCTCTGAGTTTGAATCAAGTCGAGGGCACTGAACAAGAAAAACAACCTCTAGGGAAGTTTTCTTGTCAAGGCAAATAACTGTCCTAGGGTTCTAGGTGTGAAATAATATTTGCTGAAATGTGACTCTAGAGTTGCCTACTTATTTAAAGCATTGACAGCCATCACATAACTGAATACTGTCTACTTAACGGAACAAGGACAGTGAGGAGAAGTCTGCTAAAATATTTGTTTAAAGGTTACAGACACATATAGGGTGGTGAAATTAATATCTGTAATGAGCTCAGAATTACCAGTGGCCAAGGAGCATGCAAGATTTGGAACCATCGGGTATGGAAGAGTTAAGTCCGTTTCTTTTTGTTCAGCCATTGAACAATTATTTACTGAGGACCAGGCATTGGATTGGGTGGTGGGAGATGCAAAGACAAAGAGAACTTAGGAGATGGCAGTGTGGACAGTTTTAACAGAAGCGTGGTGAGTGCCAAGAGAGCAAAGACAACAGGGCCCAGAAATCTTCTCTGATAATCTTCAAACATAAAGCTGAAGTACTGATGTCACCAGGCCTCTCAGTAAATCCTCTTGGTCCAAACTACATGGTAGTTTTTTACATAGATATGAATTGCACTCAGTTGTTGTTGGTAGCAACACATGGATCACAGACCATAGTTTGGGGTTTGTTTAATTTAGGGTTGCTTCATTAAGGCTATCTCTATTTGTAGCAAATAGATACAGTAGAGCAGTACTTCAATAAGATGGGGATGCATTTATTGCAAAGGTGCTTTATTGCTAGTTTTTCCATGAATATCAGACAGCAACTGCTGGGCTTGTCCCCGTTGTAATAGTTCTCTTAATTCAGAATCGTATGTCTCGCAGATACTGAAAGTACCAAGATACGGAAAATGTAGTGATTTAGAGTTTGTGTATTTATATGCGGCCTTAATATTTAAACTCAGCAGATTAATATTTAAACTCAGAATACAGACTCAGAAACTTTGTAATTTTTCCAGCAGAATCATTCCTCTAACCTTTATGAAATGAGAAACATTGTTAATTAGATGATCTTGCGTCCAGAGTTTTGTGATGTCAGTCAAATTTAGAACCACAGAAACAGTTGATTCTGTAAGAAAACTCAATTCTCAAAGAGTACAATTTTTAATTTATGAAGGGGAATGTGTATTAAAAATAGGAATATGGATCATATTTCATGCTTATGTAGATGAACACATAATTTCTATGGGCATCCCTTTCTTCTTTGCAAAAATACTCATTATCTCCAAATCGTATTTTACTGAAAAGTACAACTTAATGGAAAATGATTTGACTGTTTCATAATTCATCTCAATGATTAGGATTTTGAGGATTGAAGGAGTTAAATAGGCAATACTAACAGAGACATGACAATCGAATTGGGAGAAAGGAATAAGGGTGACTTCAGTGTTTCCTCAATGCTCTATTTTAGATGCAAAGTGACAATGATGTTAGTCAATTCTGAGTGTTGATACGTACATATTTCTTGCATTACTCCTCTATTTTCATTTGTGTCTTAGTTAGAATTTATTACCAACTGTTAACATGATGATTCATTCATTCAACAAATATTTGTTGAGAGCCTACTATGAGACCAGTGCTAGCAATAAAATGAAGGAAAAAACAGACATCATCCCTCATGGAGTTATGTTTTAGATGTGAACTATGAAATGTTTTGAAATCTGACACAGAGTGTTTAAAAAGAGGGAGAGAATGGGGGTGAATTAACTTGTACTAATACTTTGGAGATGGGGTTGCTGTTGGTATTTAATCTGGAAGCAAAGGTCATTCTATACTGATAGGAACTGCCTTATTTTTGGCCAAAATAGAGTCTGACTTTAACCATTTAGTACCCATGGGCCACACAGCTAATTCAGTCTTGTGCAGTATCTACTTTTGATACTGTTCTTAACCCCAAGTTCACATGCATTTTCCTTTGATTCCCTCTAGTATATGACTGCTGCCGCTCCTATGCAAGGGACCTACATTCCCCAGTACACGCCTGTGCCTCCGACAGCTGTCTCTATTGAAGTAAGTCTACTTTTATCTTACAGGAAGAGGTGAAGGGAGATCTATCTATCTCAGCCGCATATAACATGGTCCCCCAGAACCTGAGGAATCCTCGTGTGTGACTTTTGTGCTACTCGAACATTTGAAATTGCAAACTCAGCATATGAAAGTATGTTCATTTACTCCAATAGGCCTGTGTTTTGCTTTGTATATGAAATGAGGTAGTCTGCCATAACCGTATAAAGGGAGTTTGAGTTTTCATATTTAGAGGAAAGACCAGAGACCGGATCACTACCCCATCAAATGTTAACCACAAATACTCATATAGGGAGGGGAAAAAAAAGTTTGCAACTATTTGACTGAGCTCGTTCTTTAGGGCCTTTTTACTCGAAGAGTAGTCTCTGGGCTGACGTCATTCGCATCACCTGGGAGCTTTTTGAAGGTCCCTGGCTGGCACAAAAGTTTTGCGCTTAACTACTAACCTAAAGGTTGACAGTTTGAACCTACCCAGCAGTGCCACAGAAGAAAGGGCTGGTGATCTGCTTCCATAAGAATTCCAAGAATACCCAATGGAGCGGTTCTACTCTGTAATACAAAAGGTTGCCATGAGTCAGATCAACTCAATGGTATCAGGGTTTTTGAGGGGGTTTTGGAGCTTGTTAGAATTGCAGAACCTCAGACAACACCCAGAGCTGCTGAATCCGAATCTGCATTTTAACAAGTTCCCTCAGCCATCCAGATGGGTATTAAAATGTAAGAGACACTGGACTAGTGTGCTGCTTCTCAGCCTTTTCTGCACACTGTCATTATTTTGGGAACTTGAAAAAATACTGCTGCCTGAGTCCTATTCCCAGAGATTCTGATTTATTTTTCTGGGGCATGACCTGGGTATCAGGATTTTTAAAAGCTCCTCAGGTGGTTCTAATATGTGCCAGAGGTGAGAGTCACTGTTCTAGTGAATAAACCTTAACGATTTTGTGGCTTCCTTCAGGTAAGTAAGAAAACGTCGGTTCATTCTTATGTCTGTGGACACCTTAATGGAAGCTTTGCCCCTTTCCTTTTCTCTTTCCGTTGGGCTGAATCCATCTCCTCCACACATCATTTTTTCTGGACAGGATCATCAAGCTGCGTAGAAAAGGAGGGTGCATAGATCTGGGCAGGTGGTGGTGAAACTCTTAAATATATATGCTTCTACCTGGTTCTTATGCCCGTCTCCTCCTTCTCTGATACACGTGTGCCATCATGGTCACGGTTCCTTCCTTTCCTTCACCTGGGACTCTTCTGCAGTAGATGTCACCGATACTTCATGGGCTGGCCAGCTAGAGTTTTGACCACTCCACATGAAAGTCCATCATTGCACCGCCAGGGCTTCGCTCATTCCTTGTAATGACCAAATAAAACCACCTACGCCGCTTTCGGAACCAAACATACGCCCCTGGTGATGACCGCCTCCAGAAGTTCATCCTTGCTGTCATCTATGAGAGACAAGAAATAAAAACCATAATGGGCAAAGCAAACTAAAATTAAGGACAAGTTTTTTCTTTTTCTTTTAGGAAACCTCTAAATGAATTCCAGCCCGTGCCATGCAAAACAAAACAAAACAAATCAAATCGTTGAAGGAAAAACCTACTTAACTGTGTTCTTTAAAAAGAAATCCAACCTTTGATACAGATTTTTATTAAGGCCAGATTCCACTGTTTTGCCAAATCATATAGACATGGTACAGTGTGTGACTCCAGGCAAATGTTTGAATATAAGGTTCTTTATAGAAATCCTGCATGAATTTTCTAATTCATAAATTGTTATTTGATGTGACTATGTGCCACCATGGTTTAAAACTACCAAGTATGGGCAAAATAATTTTCTGCGATTCGGTTGTTCCAAGGACTTCTGGTGGTAAGGCTGCTTGGTGGCACATTGGAATGAATTTCCGAGTCTTTATCCAAATGTGCTCTGTGGTTTGCCTCTAAGTACTTACTGCAGTTACTTTTTGCCACTGAGAACAGCAACTCTACTCAGGCCAGATAAATGAAGGCTATTCTTCCCAGTCGCTCGGGAAGAGAGCCCTTTGCTAAAACCAATAAGTCTTCTGTGTTCTTATTTCCTTCCTTAGGGAGTTGTGACTGATACCTCTCCCCAGACGGTGGCACCTTCATCCCAGGACACCACTGGTCAGCAGCAACAGATAGCAGTGGACACATCCAACGAGCATGCATCTGCATATTCTTACCAACAGTCTAAGTAAGTGCAGGCTATGCTAAGCTGCTGCCCTTGAGATCAACCATCTTGACATCACTCTCTCATGCTGTATCTGCTAGCTTTTGCCATACAACATGTAACAAATCACCCCCAAACCTAACGACGAGCATTTATTTAGCTCGTGATTTTGTGGGTTGGCAATTTGCACTGACCTCAGGTGGGGTAGATGGTTCTTCTGGACTTCCTCATGCATCTGGAGACAGCTACTGGTCATCTGTGCAGCTCAGCTTCTCGGTGTTGTCTCACTGTCCATTGGGTGATTGGAGTGACTGGGCCACGTGTTTCTCTTCCTGCAGCAGGCTTACTCACATGGCAGTATCAGAATACCAGAAGCAGCAAGAGTGCCATCTCCAATCCACAAACACTTCAGTACTCTGCTTGTGACTTATTTGCCCTGACTCTTCGGCCAAAGCAAATCACATAGCTGAGCCCAGGGTCAATGTAGAGGGTACTGTCAAAAAGCTTGGATACATGAAAGACACTGCAGCCATTTTTACAAAAAACCTACCATACGTGTGTTTGGGAAAACTCTAGTATTCCCAGCTCAAAGTAGATAGTGAGTCTGCATTTTGGTCTCCGTTTCCTCGTTCTTAAGCACCTTGCAGGGTTGCTTTGAACACCCAGTCAAATAATTCATGAAAAAGGATAAAATATAAAGCAACATAAACATAAAAACAAAAAAAACCAAGCCAGTTGCTACTGAGTCAATTTCGTCTCACGATGGCCCCGTGTGTGCAGAGTAGGACTGCACCCCGTACGGTCTCAAGGCTTTCAGAAGCGGATTGTCAGGCGTTTCTTTTGAGGTGCCCCGGGTGGGTTTAACCCACCAACCTTTCAGTTAGTAGCCTGTTGTCGCTGAGTCGATTCGGACTCATAGCAACTGCCCCATAGGGTTTCCAAGGAGCAGCTGATGGATTCCAACTGCCAACGTTTTGGTTAGCAGCTGAGCTCTGAACTACTGTGCCAGCGGTTTCAGTGAGTAGTAGAGTATTTAACTCATAGCAACCCTATAGGACAGAGTAGAACTGCCCCATAGAGTTTCCAAGGAGCATTTGGTAGATTCGAACTGCTGGCCTTTTGGTTAGCAGCCAGGCTCTTAACCATGAGCCACCAGGATTCCTAAAGCAAAATGGAGCAGGTCCTATTCAGGAATTAAATGGTATAGAAAAAAAGCAATAATCAGACTTACTCTTGAAAATCCTGAAATCACTTATAAAGCAAAGTATTGTTGACTTTGTGTTGAGTAATTATGGAGACTAACACTGAAACCAAAGGAAGGAACGAAAGGAAACACAGGTGTCTTGGCATGCAAACCATTCTACTTTGTAGATAAAATCAAATCCCTGGTGAATAGAGAACCCCCAAATGATCCTGCCTGTCTGCAAAGTATTGCTCCATGTCTTTGTCATTATTCCTCTTTAACCTCAAGGCATATTAAGAGATTGTTGGTTGTTGAAAGATTAATCAAGATAATGGATCTTCCATATGTGGTTTACTTTCCAAAGTCAGCCCTGTAAATTCAGTGTGCTCAGGATGTGACGTCACCATACAAATATAAAGTGTTACTATTATTGTTGATGTTATTATTATCACATAATAACTTTCAGGCATGGTCGTTAGTGAATAAAACAGTATTTTTGTTAGATAGTTTGTTAGGGTTTGTTTTCTTTTGCTAATTTACCTGTGTTCTTGTTGTTAGGTGCCTTTGAGTCCCTTCTGACTCATAGCGACCCTGTGTACAACAGAACAAAACACTTCCTGCTCCTGCGCCATCCTTACAATCATTGCTATGTTTGAGCCCATTGCTGCAGCCACTGTGTCAATCCATCTCCTTGAGGGTCTTCCTCTTTTTTGCTGACCTGTAGCCTGTATGAATCACTTTTACATACACCACAGGATATGAGAGACTATAGCATTCTACTCAGAGTCCCCGGGTTGTACAAATGTTTGAACACTCAGCTACTAACCGAAAAGGTTGATGGTTCTAACCTACCCAGAGGTGTTTTGGAAGAAGGGCCTGACAATCTGCTTCTGAAGGGCCACAGCCTTGAAAACCATATGAAGTGCAGTTCCCTTCTGTACACATGGGGTGGCCATGAGTTGGAATCAACTGGGCGGCAACTGATTTTGGTAGTAAGGGCACCTACAGAGACATTTATTAGAAAGCAGGTGCAAAACAATTTATACAGTTTGCTCTGTAAGCTTGGTAAAGCCCAACTCTGTTCTTTTAAGTAATCTTACCACCCCTTACATGAAAAATCCACTCATGCAGATTAGACAGTTTATGCAGATTATCCTTCTAGATGCCGCTAGAAATCTTCTACCCTATGTCAGTCCCATTTTGAGCTCAAACCTGAAGCAATACCCAGAAAGTTACAGGCTACAGATTTTCCTACATTTTTATTATAGGTCGTTCATGTAGAGTAGGGAGTATCTCTAAATATTTTAGTCAATCCATGTATCTTGAATACTCCAGATTTCACAAATGGCAGTTCATTTCCAGCATCCATTAAGCTAATTAACCAGCTACTACTTTCATCAGGCCCCCATTTCTAACAATCACTCCGCTAATTGAGGTATGGATAGCTTCAAGTACTTGTACAAACCTCTGGCCTTTCTCATTAAATGCTAGCTGAACTCCTGTGGGGCGTGAAATTCTAATTAGGGCAGCTGAATGTCCCCTAAAAAGTAGCTAGACCCATCACAGGTACATTTAACACCACTGTGTCTATAGTAATGGTGTTTGAACATAAACCACAGCAGAAGGTCCTAAGAGAAAAGTCTGACACGAATACATGGTGTACCTATGAATCAACGAGTTATGTCTGGGATCTATGTCTGCAAACATTGTAATATTTCAGCTTCCACTTTCCAAGCTAAAAAACACGTTCTCACATTTAATACTCACACTTTTTTCTTTATCCATTGTTAAAAGAGGCTAATAATACAAATGAGACTCTGAGCACTTATAGGATAAAGGCAGAAATGATAACTGGGTTTTATTTTGGAAATTCCAATTTCCATCCCAATAATTATGTTCTCCCTTGTGCTCTTTAGGAAACCTTAAGATAAGCAGAAATAAGTCTTCAGGCAAGGTGAAATTCTAACATACAGAAACGAAGGTTCACATTCCGCCTTTGTCCCTCGCTAGTTGTCACTCAGCCTTTCTGAGCCTCACCTTCCTCTTCTGTAAAATGAGAGGATTAGATTAGGGTTCCCTATGAGTTGAAATCGACTCGATGGCAAGGGGTTTGGTTTTGGTTTAAAGGGTGTAAGGGGGAGCCCTGGTGGCACAGAGGTTAAGAGCTCGGCTGCGAACTAAAAGGTCAGCAGTTTAAATCTACCAGCTGCTCCTTGGAAACCCTACAGGGCGGTTCTACTCTGTCCTATACGGTGGCTATGAGTTAGAATCAACTTGAAGGTGGCAGGTTTTTTGGTAAAGGATGTAAAAGGAGCTCTGGTTGTGCAGTGGTTAAGCGCTCACTGCTAACTGAAAGGTCAGCAGTTCAAACCTACCAGCCACTCCGCATGAGAAAGATGTGGCAGTCTGCTCCGGTAAAGGTTACAGCCTTGGAAACCCTATGGGGCATTTCTACTCTGTCTTATAGGGTAGGTATGAGTCTGAAATGACTCCACGGCAATGGGTTTAAAGGGTGTAAAGGAGCCCTTTTGGCACAGTGGTAAAGCACTCAGCTGCTAACTGAAAGGTCTAAAGTTGGAACCCACCAGTCACTCCACGGGAGAAAGATGTGGCAGTCGGCTTCTGTAAAGATTACAGCCTTGGCAACCCTATGGGACAATTCTGCTCTGTCCTATAGGGTCACCATGAGTCTAAATCGACTCAAGGGCCATAGGTTTGGTTTTGGTTTAAAGGGTGTAAATTAGACCTCTAGTGCTGAGGGCAGATTTACCTCCAAGTGCCTGAAGTTGCATGGGATGAGAGGGAAGCATTCCTATTTAAATTAAATTGGGAAACATTGCTGTAAACTCTGTGAAATGCATTTCTTAATTGCAGTTCTCCTCGAAGATATTTAAAATGCTAATGGACAAGACCTCCTAGAGGGCCATATAAATACTTCAAATGCTTTACTGCTGAAGAATTAGGGTGCATTCTGCTCTCGTCCTATGGAATTCAAAGAGTTTTTTTTTTTTCTTAAACATATTAAATTATAAAAGAAGCCTAACAAATTCTGATTGTCTACATGATGACTATTTTGATACTAATTTAGAAGACTGCTTTCTTTCAAAAGCAATTTTTTATATTGGTAGCCTTCTTTGTTGGTACTCAACCACGTGTATAGTTTCCCCATAGATAATCCAGTAGTGAGAATACACCGGTTGCCATGGAGTTGATTCCGACTCATGGCAACCCTGACTCATGGTAGCCCCATGTGTGTCAGAGTAGAACTGTGCTCCGTAGGATTTTTAATGGTGTGACCTTTTGGAAGGAGATCGCCAGGACTTTCTTCCTCTAGGTGGACTCTAGGTGCCTCTAGATGCCTCTAGGTGGACTCGAACCTCCAACCTTTTGGTTAGCAGCCAAATGCATTACCTTATGCACCACACAGAGACTCCAATAGGAATATAGTGTGCAGTATTTCCCAAACTCTGGACTACAGAACCCCCCTCTTTGCACATAGCATCACATGAAGCTAGCGTGTCAGAAAAGACCTTGGGAAATAGTATTTCATCAAATGATCTCTAAGACTTCTAGCTCTAAAAGTCTAGAATTCTAAGAGGATAGTTTGCTACTTCCCAATCTGCTCCCTCTGTTTTTTTGGGGGAGAGGGAGGGGGGTGGGTGGGAGGATACAAAATGATTGTGTTCTTAAATTTAGTCAAATACTTAGTTTCCCAACATTCTTACTAACCTTGGAAGACCCTCATGTCAACTCCAATATTGCAAAGTCTTTTTATTCTTCAGTCTTCTCTAACCACAGAAGGTCCACATGAACTACCATGAACACCAAGGTCTTATATATTGTCAGTGTATTAATGATGTGCAAATAAAGTCCTTGATTACCACCCTGTTTGTCCTTCAAGCTTGTGAGCTGTAATGCATTTTACTTGCACAGTGCTTTACAGCTTGCTAATTGCTTCATACGCATTATCTTATTCATCTGAATTTCTCTTTTTAAGTTGCAACCCGTTTTGTTTCCAAAGTAATCTCACTGCCCTACTGAAAATGTTTTTGTTGCTAATGATCATGACTTTGAACATTTAGAAGCCTTCTATTTTTACGTATATCGGTGCAATCCATAAGTATTATATAAATATGCACTTTCACACTTCATATAGGACAGAGAAGGTGGGCAGGAGTGAATTCAGTTCTATTATGTACCAACACCTTTTTCCTTCAAATTTCAGCTAGCAACCGTGAAAATATAAAGAGCAACCATTTATCTCTCCTCATTTGTTTTCATGTAGCAATGAGGCCACGTTAAGGACCCGGCAAGTGATGGGAGAGGGATGTTGAAAACATTTGTGTAAAGTTATAAAACCTGAAAGCAGCTACAGCCTAGCTCATAAATATGGACGATGCCGAAAGCAGTGCATATAAAGCAACTGAGCAGTGAGGTCTTCTGTGTCGTTTTAGTCCGTTGAGTAAGATGCCGTTCACGAAGCAGCTGTTATAGAGATTCATGATGTTGTAGGCATTTTCTGCTCAATGAGTGTGGGAGATGGGGGTGGGGAGAAAAGAACAGAACAAAAAGCAAATAAAAACAAAAAAAAAAAAGAATAGAAGAAAAAAACAAACCTGTTCCCCCCATTCACCCATAGGAGGCTAGACTTTTAGAAATAAATGGAGCAAATCTAAGGTTTGCAAAGTTATGGAAAGATAGCTAAAATGTAGACCGTGGTTCCCATGACAACTACTAATAAATTTCCCTTTTGTTACTGCTGTGATGAAAATTGTAATTGCATTCCTTCTGAGAAGAATCTCTACTTTCTCTTGTAACATAGAAAAAAAAATATGTTTATTTCTAGAGACCTAAACTATTGGTTAAAAACTGAAGTATTTGATCTTCAACACTTTCCTTCATGATCTTCAGAACAGGTTAATCAGGTTCACAACAGCCATAGCTGGCTGATAGGATGGAGTTTTTTTTTTGTTTTTGCAAATTAGGAAAAGGAGCCCCTTCTGGGCAAGTCACAGGCTCAATGTCATACAGTTCAAAACATGGGGGGTGAGAGGGAGGCGTTTTGCATATTTGAATACGGCCTCCTTGCTCAGGTCAGATGCAGAGACATAGCTTGGGGCAGGGGGGACTGTGAACTGGAACTTAGCCTTCACTCACTTGCTCAGCCTTGAGTTTTGTACTGTGAGTAACCTGTACAACCATACCAGCAGCCCTGAGGCTTCTTCACTAAATTGAGGCATTGGGTATCAGAAGAAACTACAGGGCTTTTTCCTGTCATCCTGTGTACCATGAAGGAAGAGATGTTCATCTGAATGTGACCTACAGATAGTTTAAAGATCCTTCTTAACACATCCCTGCTTGTATTTAGCAAAATCCTAATCTGTTGGCAAAAGAGCTAAGAGTAAAGCCCCACCCACTAGAAGCTCATCCCCGCAATATGGATGGGGCAGCAGCAGAAGACGTTATTTGGGCTGGACTAGGCAAAGTGGCATAGGGTAAAAATGACGTATGTGTAGTTAAACACCTAGTACGTGCACATGACTTTGTAAGACTCTGGAAGAATAAAAAATAAAAGAAGCAAAAAATATAGTCCCTGATCTCAAGAATTTAAAATCTTGGTGGAGGAAGGGTGTAGCAAGGGAGAAGAGAGGGAAAGAGAACAAAACATCATTAACCTCATAGCAATCTTATTTACTTACGGGGCCAGTAAGGCTTACGTGAACACCCTTGGGCAATGCGACAAGATTTCATATATTCCAATGCTATATCTTGAGTATATAGCAGGAACTCCCATATTTGTTGACTGAGTTAGTGATGAATCTCACTGAAATTCTAAAGGTATAGAATTACTCAAAGAATCTGTGGGAAAGATCATCCAGGCATTGAAAAAGAAGTTCTGTGCACATAGGGAGTATTACGTATCTGAGTATATTTATATTATCTTATTGTTTTAGAATTGAAAGATATTCTTGACCTATTAGCCTTGATTTGTGACTTGACTAAACTGTCTGGCTTGGATATATACTTGTGAGAAAGTGGCCGAACTTGGCATCCCCAGGGGCCCAATGTGTTTTTACAGCTTCCATGAAGAGGGTGTTATATTGAAAGAGCTTAGTATCTTTTAAAGAGTCCCCACTGGAAAAGATCAGAGAGGATGATTCTGAAGTTACTTTGATTTAATGACTGCCCTCGTTTGATTGTTTTCACAGACCATAAACAGGACTGAAGAATGTTCGTCTGAAACTTTGCCTTGAATGAAGAAACTTCATTGAACAAGAAGTTGACTTCCAGTTTGCACAGACATCAACTGAATGCTTTTTTTTTTCTACTTTACCCAGTGAAAACAAAGTGTTTTTATGTGCTGTGCAAATGGTTCCTTCATGTGGTCTGACAGTTTTATTTTTGCCATCATTTTTTTTTTTTAAT